GGGACTCGGCGGCACTCTCCACTGTTGAATGATTAATTTATGCAGCAAAATGGTAAGCGCCAACTTCCATCAATGGCGCTGGGTTATGAATGGGGGGATCGAAGAGGTTCCGTCCCTCCCTGTCCTCCCCGATACGCCACACACAGCTTACCTACCTCCCCACTTAATGATAACATTATCATCATCCTCCAGTGCCAGCCTCTTACTGGAAGGAAGACTGTTAAAGGAAGGAACGACAGACATCATGGGACTGAAAGAATACTGAGTTCAATCTCCACGGTGCCGCAGTAGCCTATATTAAAAACCGAATTAAATTTTAATGACTTCTGAGTCTTGGGCTATCCCCCAAGTATTAGGTTACGTGACTCAACAAACAAAAGAATCAAGAATCTCAAATTCTCAAATCAATATAACGGCTAATAGCTATGTATATATAGATATACATAAATAAAAATATATATGAAAATATGTGAATAGATATATATATATATATAGAGAGAGAGAGAGAGAGAGATAGAGAGAGAGAGAAAAGATAGATTGATAGATAGATAGATAGATAGATAGATAGATAGATAGATAGATAGATAGATAGATAGATAGATAGATAGATAGATCAAATTTATCTTTATGTTTATTTGTCAGTTTATTTTACTGAACGTGAGGTGTTGTCTGGATGATCTCACTTGACCTTTGTTATGGAGGATTCCTGAATGCTTTGAGCTTGTAAAAATGACCAAAAAAGTAATTTTCACATATGGTCAAGTAGCCCTGCCCTGTACGCTTTAGAGGGAAGTCACGTTGCTGACATTTTGTTTGGTCTTATGCATAAAGGCTGCGTAGAGGGATGATGGCCTTGCACTGGAGCTTTGGGCCCTTTTTATACGGCTGGTGAGGCCTAGTTGAGCTCCGTAAAGTTTGGTTGCACTCTGGGCAAGGTATTTCAGCTGGTGCTTTGTGTGAGTTTCTTTGGTTTTCTTCTCTGAAGATTTTCTTGCCCTCTGCGATTTTCCGTCAGTTTTAAAAGTGCGGCGCCATGACTCTAAATCGTTAGCGTCCGTCTCGTATGTGCCAGGGCTAGTGTTGAAAGTCCTCAGGAATGCTTTGGTGTGTACCTAAAGCTTTTTTTTTTTTTTTGACCACCCTGAACGCGATTTATATATAGTACATTGCAAATTGTGCGATCGTTGACATTGTAGATATCTCCCTGTTATTACATTTCTTTAAGCGTAAGGAAATATATATTTGTACTTTGGACATTTAAATGTCGGCTTTGAAGGTCCTTCATTGTTTAGAATATGAAACGCTTTTGGTGAACCTGTTCACTGCGATTTAGACCGTGAAAAAAGGCTTAGTTGTTCTATGCTTAAGTTAAGTAATAACAGGCTTTTATCGTCCATGGTAAATGGGAAGGCTATCAGTCATTCAGTCATCAGGACTTTGAAGATAGCAGGGTATATTTCATATTTGGTTTTAAGTCGCTCCGAAATATGTTTTGGTTGTAAAAAAAAGGGAGATGATTACGTCTTATATATTGTATTGATCTCCCTTTGATCGCCTTTTCTTGCTATTCGTTGCATTGGTTATGGAAAGGAGATGATAACTGAGTCGATGCAATGAACATAAAGTGGCATTATACTTTTCTTTAATTATTTTGATCGGTCTTGTCGCGCCAGACGACTCGAGTTTGTGATGCTGTCAGTTTGGCAACTTGGTGTTAATCTTGATCTAAGTATATCTCGACACAAAAGTTCAAACTGACGCGCTCCCTGTCATGGCCGCATTCTTATATGCTTGCGAGTCTTGAACTCTTGACTGTAGAGCTAGAGAGGAGGATCCTAGCAATGGAATTGAGATGCTACAGAAAGACCCTAGGTATCACATTGAAAGACTGCATCACAAACCAAGAGATTAGTGACAGGGTTTTGAGAGCGATTGGACCCACGATGACCAGCTAACTATTTAAAAAAAAAAAGGTAACTAAGACTCTGAAATCTTATTACAAGGTCTTGCAAATACCTTCTTTCAGGGAACAGTACCAGGAAAAAAGAAGAAGAGGCAGACAGGGAAAGCGATGGGAAGACGGCATAAAAGAATGGACGGGTCTGATATTGAAAGAGGTTCTATCCAAGGCAAAAGGCAGAGATGAATGAAGAAAGACGGTTGACAAATTCTGTGAGGTACCCCAATGGTCCAACAGACTAAGAGATATGTGAAGTATATCTACTAACATATGTTGATATTCTTAGATATTCACGTAACACAGTCTTGGTTGCAACTTTCAGTATATATGCAGTGGCTTGCTAATGGAAATAAAATCTAGATGCATTTGTCTTCGAAAAAAATGTTTCCCTTTCAGACCATGCGATCTATAGAACAGACGATGTAAAGGTCATCTGTTTCTGTGGGCCTAGGTTAACGAGAGAGTCATGTGACCAGCTGAGTGGACTCAGAAGCGCACTAAAGATCCCGAAATTAAAAAATCCCAGTCTTCATCAGGATTCGCACCTAGGACCTATGGCTCGGAAGCCAAGCGCTTGACCACTCGGCCACCGAGCCTCCTATTTGACTTTGAAACAACCATTGCTAGTTTTCTTTTTTTTTACTTAGGCGAATTATTATAAGAAAATGTGGTCTCTGGGAAATTGTGACTGTGGAATGATAACAAAGGAAAAATGCTAGGTTATGATGTGTAACGGATGCATGTGTAAGTCAGATGTAGCTGAAGTATTTCTAAACATGCTTAATTATACTAAGTGCGTTCGTACCTTGTTTGATGTATTTCAATCGCGAGTTCTTGGAAAACATGCACACGTCACAAATATAAATAACTTACTAACAGGTATCACAGACTCAATGACCAAGTTGACTCAAGGTGAACTTCAAACAAACGTTTAATACAGAATGGGCCACAGTCTAGTCTGTCACTGTAGAACGATATTATCCCCTCGAGAGTCTAGCGATAACTGATTAATTAAAAGTGTATTCTAATCTCTAACCCAAAGTCTATGTCGTCACTATAAAATGTATGTTCACGTCGGTCTAACAAAGTGCGCAACCCAACTAACTAAACTAGCTATCGAACAGATGACATATTACATTCTTGCTAAATCTAAAACAGCAGACGATTTCTTCGCCTTAGTAGTAGTGGCTAAAAAAGATATGGGTTTATGTAAAATGTTGTATTCATTTTAACCTTTCTGAAGTAACATAAGAACGTGTTCTATAAATAGCCATTAGATCACATAACGAGTTGCCTGAATCAGCCAGGAAAATAAAATGATTTAGTTGAGTTAAACATCTTTAATTAACGACTAGAGCAACACAGGGAGAATCACAGTCAGAGCAAGCCCGGGCAATGCTTCTCAGCCTCAACGTGGCCCCCATGTGGAAACTGTCGTCAGAGGAGGAGATTGGCGAGGATGGAAGAGAGCCCCCTACAACTATGTCACTATTCACCCTCTATTCCTCAAGGGGCAGTTTTATGACGGACATCCGATCGGTTGATGCGGTAGAGAGAAGGAATATGGTGGAGTTCCACACGTGTGCTCGACCTCCGGACTTGCCAGGAATCGAGGGATACGGAGCCTTTGATAACATGAATGTACATTTGCTTAGATCTCTCCCTGACTGAACATTTGTACAGACTGGCCCATAGAGGGGGCTTCCATGGGCCTAAAGTTTCAAGAGTATTCGACTCAGGTCTTAGATGGATCATAAAGACTTCACAAGTGTAATTAATATGATCTAATTAATATTGTTAGTTATATTCATTTTTGTTTCTTTTCTTTTTTTATCAGTATGTGAAATTTAAATCTTATTAGCAGATTGTGCTAGCAGTGTACTATTGTGGACTTCGGGGCTTTATGCCAGCTTATATGGAAACGTGTGCAGCTAGTAATTTTGGTAAACTAGGTACAAGAACTTTTAATCTAAAAAACATGTACACAACAAATACAAAGTATAAAAAAAAATATAAAAATTTAAGAAATGTTATAAATATTTTTTTTTTATGTATAGAAAGGTCTGAAAAAAATGTTCAATTTGTGGTGGGTTAGTCTTGAAATAAAGTAGATCTTAATTTATCTCCCCTGGTTGTAAAACGTTGGTGGTAGACAAGACGTATAGTCTTTTACTATCATTTCAATCAGAGGCAGATTAAATAGATTGAATATTTATTACCAGCGCCGGCCCTAGCCATTGCGGGGCCCTAAGCGAAACGGATTTCGCGGGCCCAGTTTTTTGTAAGGATACGGATAATAAGTGGAGATTAAGATTTTATATTAAAATAATGAATTCGTCTTTGCATTTAATTCATTCTTTTATAAGGGCAAAATTACTATCAAATTAACTTAACATTACGAGCCTTGCTTGTAACAAAGTCATACAGTTTATCACCAGACTTCATTTCCTACCTAGATCACGTTCAATAGCAAGAATTATCAACGATAGTCGACTTCAACTAAGTCTTTAAACGACAAACTAGATGACACAGTTACGAGAATGGTATAATGCCGTTTTTTTTTTTCGTTTATCTTTTTTAACTCCCCAGAATGACAATTTTGTCTATATTTCAGGAGATTTATGTGAGGTTTTTAAAAATATTTCAATAAGCTCAGAAGATTTCCAGGACTTTTTCGTATATTTTGCAATTTTAGGAGATTTCCAGGAGTTCCTTGTAAATCAGGAGGCCGAGGTAAATCTGTTATTATTTATAAATTTTTAATTCAATAATTTACACCTAGAATTAGCTCGGAAGCCTATGAAAGCGGGGAGGGGACCACTACGGACGCATAGGTTTCAGTGGCCTATGGCCGACCCTGTTTATTTTTTTTTTTTTATTCATTGTATTGTCATTATATTGTTGGAGGGTTGAGATGAACTGCTTGTGACTGTCTATGCCAGGCAGTTTTTCAATATTGTTTTTCTTCGGTGTGGGCCAGTATCTTGTTTTGATCTAGATGCTTTTGGGGTGTTATTTAAATAAAATAAAAATATAAAGCCATCCCTGGCGGGATTCAAACCCGCTACCTCTTAATTAGAAGTCCAGCGCGCTATTCGCTGCGCTTCAGGGACTGGTATAGGGTTAAGACAGACCCAAGTCTATGATATAGATCTACCTAAAAATCATACAGTGACTTGTTTAATAATCCACTGTGGAGAAGTAAGGAAATTAACATCACGGATCAGTGACTTTACCGGAAGGGGATTCCAGAAGTTAAAAGGTTGTCAGAAACTACTCCGGAAATAGAGCTTAATAGAATCTAGTTCGCTTTAAGCCTGTAGTCTACTTATAGAAGCAGAAATAAGGACTGGGTACTTAGGCACGAAACTTATTGATTGCCCCTTGGAGAGAGGGGGTGGGCTGAAGACTACAGTTACCATGTGTCTCTAAATCTACAAAATATCTAAGACTTATCGCTTTCAAAATAAAGCCTACAGCCATTTGCTGTCTACAGCCGTGTCAGACTACTCAACCTCTGTAGTCGACATTTGTCCTAAGTCTAAAGAGTGGCTTTAGTCTGCGCAATCGACATTCCACTATATTAAAAAAAAAAATCTGGCGCAGGCTGTATCACAAAACTTACGTAGCACTGCTATTATTACACTAGGGAGTTGAAAGAACATATGATTACAGTAATAATAATTTAGATCGAGAGGCTAAGTGCGCTTAAGCTTAGCTTGACTATGAAGGGGGCTCGAGGTTCGACACCTGACTCGGGCAGAATTGTGTTTACTGAGCGCCTAAAGGCAGCACGGAAAAAAACGTCTCCTAGATACCACCTCCACCCCACCCCCCACTGGTCCACAAATGAGATTAGACCAAAGCGCTCTGAGCATGATATAAGCATGAAAGTAGAGCTATTTAAATTTATAAATCTAATTTTTAACCAATCTATCACAAATTCTTTTTAATGTAAGTGTTGTGTTTACAGTTGTGTGGTTAATAGTATTACACTCTACCTAAACCTCCTGCAGGACAAAGGGAGGAGGAAGCGCTGTTCGAACCCGGGACCATCAAGACGATAGAGAAGAGCACATACTACAGCTAAACGCGTATTAACACTCTATTTTTATTTTCGTGGCATAATTAACTCTTTCTCTCCGTAATTATTTACCCCATTCTGGTGGAATCAACGCTGGTATTGTCAGTTAGGAGAGAAAGAGTTAACTCTTAATTAGTGTGAATATTGCTTTGTTATAACACTAACTGCTCTATTTTGTGTCTGTTCCCAATTTCATAATCTTTTCTTGAGTTGATAGAGCCCAAACAGAGGATGCATATTCTAATATTGGACTAACTAAGGTTAAATAGCATTTAGTTTTGTTTTCCTGTTTGATTTGTAAAAAAAAAAATCTTTTAATAAACCCTAATGTTTTGTTTGATTTTTAAATAATTTCATTAATATTGAGGTCCCATGTTAAATTTTCATTTATTATTATACCTAGATATTTTAAGTTTTTATTTGCTTAGTGATAGTCTTACCTATAATTAGATGAAGATCTAGACTTGGTACTAAATCTAGACATTCTAGATCCAGGTCCATATTTAATATGTTTGTATTAGTATATATATGTCACTAGACATTTTTATGAATACATAACACTCTCATATAAAATGACACACAATTAGATACACAATTAGAAATACATTTGAAACTGGTCAACAAGGAAATGCCTATACTTCGTGAAACAAATATAAAAGTTACTAAGGAAAAAAAATAGTACTCATCAAAGAGTGGTGGCTGGGGGGATAAAGCTTGGCTTTCGAATCTATAGGCCACGGGTTTTCTTATCCCTGTGACAACTATAGATTCAAAGATTTCTAGAGCTCCATAAGTCCAGCTCTATAAGCTACCTTACATTAGTTAAAGGGTCGCTGGTCATTAGACGTCTGACATATATTAATCTTTACCATCTTCTTTCTGTTGGACCGTTGGGGCACTACACAAGATCTGTCAACCGTCTTTCTCCATTTCTCTCTGTCCTTTGCCTTGAATAGAATTTCATTCACTGACAGGACTGTGCATTCTTTGATGTTGTCTTCCCATTGCTTTCTCTGTCTTCCTCTTCTTCTTCCTGTTAATGTTCCATGAAGGAAGGTCTTTGCGAGCCCCGAGGACCCTGTTATTTGTCCATATCTTTATTTCATATGCATATTTTTCCCCCTACATGGTGGTCAAGGTGAGTTCAATACTTAGATTCTGTAAACAACCAACGCACTCCAAGCCAAATCTCCAGAACGATAAAACATTTGATCAGTCACAGAACATGAACAAAAACAATCTTCCTTTCATTCATTCTCTTTCCTTTCTTTCCATCTTTCTTTCTCATTTTCTTTCTGTACACATCTCTTGTAGTGCCGAGATTCAGCCCCAACACGGCATACATACAAAGGGGAAATAGAGAGAGAGAGAGAAAGAGAGAGAGAGAGACACCCTCCCCTCCCCGTCCCTCCCCTGTGCAGTGTTCCTGTCTTCCTCTCTCTCCTCACTTCCTCTTCTTCAGACCGGCCCAGACCAGGCCTCCCGAACGTCCCCTTGGAACCCATTCAGATTGTCAACAGCTTTTCACCCACTCACGCCGTCCCTGGCTTCCCTCGTCAGACGCTCAGTTCTGGCCTACATTCGACAATGCTGTGCTCACGAGATTTCATTGATTTTGAGCGTACTTGTCCTGGGAACGTGAGTCTCAGCCAGGGGGAGGGGACTGCAATGGATTCCAGCACTTCCTGGGCGGTCAGAGTGTACTCGTGTCTTCTGTCAGATATCTCTCGTGTCTATCTATCTAATCTATCTATCTATCTATCTATCTATCTATCTATCTATCCGTCCGTTTGTCGGTCTGTCTGTATGTCTGTCTGTCTGTCTGTCATCACCGGCAACTGACTACAGCGAATAATTTAAATATTGAAAAAAAATCAAAATGTCTTATAACGGACAGAATGAATCACATTTTTAAAGTGTTTTGTTATGACCAAGACTTATGTCAACACTACCCCAGGCCCTTTAATGAGGCAAAAAATTTTGCCAAGTTTGAGAGTGATTTTAAACATGGGCTTGCTTGAGTAAAGAGTTGCCATACTTAGCAGAGTTTAAGTCACTGATTAATATGCCTGAGTAATGAAGATAGTAAAATGTAGTTATATCGTCTTTTGAAATAACGTTTGTAATGTATACGATAGAAAAGAAGATCTTAGTCGAGTCAGAAACTTTATTTTTTTTTTTCCTAAAATTTTGTTTCGCATTTTTTACGCTGACAAAAATGTCGTGATTAAGAAGTGAACGCTTGTAGCACGGCTCGGAATAAGTAAATCCAGCTCCAGGCAACTCATCCCATTCTGTAACATCATTAGGGAAGAAGGAGCTTTTTTTTTTTTTTACGAATGTTGAGGCACTGACAACTGGACATAGATGTTGAAATGTTGACTAGAGGACAAGGATACTTGCTGGACAACGTACTGAGTTGACCTCAATGTCAATCTACTAATTTTGACACGTTCTGAAAGATAACACTCAGAGATGACCAACAACACACTTAACAACACACACAGTAATGAGTGCGTGCTGACACACTCAGCTTCCCGCATTGAAGCTGTCACAACTTAACGAGGCAGTGTGACAGAAGGAGAAAATTGACATTGTCACTGCTTCGCTCAGTGTGAAGGGAGCCCATCGAGGTGCTGAATCATTTACCTACGAACTAAACACCTCCCTTGTTAGTGTTGACAATGGGAGGGCTATTTATGTAAACACTTACCTTGGCCAACCACCAACAATACACGGGCCTGAGCGGAATAGAAGAGAAAAAATAATAATTAAAAAAATGAAATAATTGTTTTGCGTTCGTTGGTCCGTTAATACCGCGAGGGTTAATCAGTGCGCTGGAGGGTGAACTGCGTCACCTCTCGTCTTGGGACCATCACAGAACAGGGAACCCAGGAACCCGCATCCACTCGCTTCGTCACGATAGATGCATCCAAGTACAAAGATGTTACGGAACAGAGCTCTATGAGTAGTCTGTGTTTATGTTTGATTCTATAGGCAGACACAAACACATTAAACATTAATCAACAAACACTACAAACTTATAAATATACCCTAAATCCGTAAACACAAATATATAAATAAATATAGTTGCACGATTTGATTTAAAATTTCACATGTAGATTATAAATATATTTAATGTGAATGTATATTTTGGTTTTCCATACTTATCGTGTTTTCTCTGGTGTAATGCACAAATTGTAAGACAAATCTACATATGGATAATAAAGATTATTATTATTATATTTAAAGTATTTTATTTGCAATTATAAAGTATATAAACACCATAAACATAAATATACAAATATTTATAAACACTGTAGACAAATAAATACAAAAATTTAATCATTATAGACAGTGATATATATTGTTGTTAGCATCCTTCAACCGTAAAACGACTATGGCTCATTTCGTATAGCACCTTTCATTTAACTGCAGGTTTCTATTCTGGAGAGACTCTCCAGTCCATATGTACCGCAGGCTAAGGTGTGTTCGTTTTGGTGGTACAGGGACCAGATATTTTACATAGATATATCGATATTAACAAACAACTTATCACTTCTTCGTGATAGAGGCTGACTAGGCCTAAACACTTTTAGTAAAATCACTAAATTTAGAAAGCCTTAAGGACAGAAGACTCAAAAGTAAAGTAGCACTTATACATAAAACACTGAACCATAATCTTCAAATACAAAAACAAAATTTAATAAAATACTCTGAAAGACACAAAGATAAAGGCATATTCCTCGTCCCATATGCTAGGACAAATTTGTACAAATACTCCTTCTTCCCTAGTGCTATTAGAGCATGGAATGGGTTGCCTGAGCTAGCCAGGAAAACCAGTGAGATAAGATAAGATAAGATAAACAAACTCTTATGTCACAGTGCAGGACGGGACACTGTTTCATGAAAGGCTCGGGCCTAAATTCGGCCCACTTTGTCTCGGCTGTGGGGATGAAGAGTCTCATTTTCTTTTGGACTACAACACAATTGTTCAATTCCGTCTCGGCAGAAGTGGGATGCCAAAAG